ATATGAAGTGGGTAGGAAGATGCTCAACCTCCTTTATCTTTTACTCACTTGTCTACAGTTATACAGATGACGGAACCAATAGGGACATCTCTTGTTCCTTCTGCCACCAGAATTTTGGCCATGTAACATTCCTCCAAGCTCTCAAATCCCACAGTCGCTTTGTCAGTCTCTACCTGTGCAATAGAGAAAGGTATGAGAGATTAAATAGCAGCATACCCTAGATACCTCTTGGATAGGAAGATAAGGATCTAAAAGTAAAGTTTTCTAGTTTTGCTAGATTATAGCCAAACATGGCCATCCCTGCACCTGGAACCTGCCGCAAATCCATCAATAGCATAAAAGTAAATAGGAAGATGTCATAAACACCCGACACTCAGTATTTATAGACAGCTGCTAAAGGAACTTTGCTCACTGAATTTTCACGTTTCGAGTCAAACACTGTCAGGGTTATTTTATTAAACTGAAAAATTGAGGCCCAAATAGTTCAATTGGTAAAAAATCTCTAAGTCGGCTAATCTTCCAGGTCGGCTATTTTGTTCTACAATTTGAAATTCACTTTGAATTCTCACTTTAGTAAAAGAGCCGGAGAAAATGCTTCTCGTGAAGAAGCATTGAGGTCAATAATTGTCAAAGAGAAGCATTCGATCGTCTGAGCCCAGTGATTGCAGCGCATGCCCGATAGGTCCTCAATACTTCCTTAAGAGAAGCACTGGGTTGGACCAAAGATGATCCAGACGGATGTTCTCAGCAGCAGAGGAGTAACTGCCAGGAGGAGAGTGTTCCGTTAACTATAAAACAATTAAGTTTCAAATTCTCTTGATTCATTCAGTTTTTGAGAAATGTACAGTTTAAACTTTGTTGATGCAGGCTGATGCCTATGGAACAACCAGACTTCGCAGAACAAGGAAATATTTCAAAGGACTTGTTTAGAAAGCAACAGGAGAAGAAACAAAAGTGGAGTTGTTGCATTTTATTTATCATAAAAAAATACATTTTTCCCGTAAAAGGACACTAGAGTCACCAGAAGAACTACAACTTAATGTAGTAGTTCTGGTGTCTATAGTCTGTCCCTGCAGGCATTTATATGAAAACAGAGAAAAGGCAGAGTTAACATTACAGCCTAGGGACACCTCCAGTGGCAGTCACTCAGACGGCCACTAGAGGTACTTCCTGGGTCAGTACTGCACAAAGTGTTTTTTTTATGTATTTATTTTTAAAGCATGGTACAGTACGCATTCTTATCAATAAAGTACGTGTAATTGTAAATAACAATAAAATATACTGGTGAAAAAAATCCCAAACAAGGAAAATGGTGCTACAATCACCTTAGTGGAGCCACAAAGAACCACTAAATAAATACAAGTGACAATAAGAAATACAAATGGTGAGAGCACTCAAATAGAACAAAAACTTATACAGTAATATTACCCAAACTGGATTATAATGCAGCGGCCGGTTCTGTCAGTGAGCGGGAGGCTCCCTCCCGCCCGCTCACTGACAGAACCGGCCGCAGCATTATAATCCAGTTTGGGTTATAATCCAGTTTGGGTAATATTACTGTATAAGTTTTTGTTCTATTTGAGTGCTCTCACCATTTGTATTTCTTATTGTATGTGTAATTGTGGTCATACTCCAGTCTTACCTCAGCAATAAGGTCCCCTTCATTAATTTTATCTCCATCCTTTTTTTCCCAGCGAGCAATGGTTCCATTCTGCATTGTAGGGGACAACGCAGGCAAGGGCACCTACAGATCACAAACACAAGACAAACGAAAAGGTTTCAAACGGTAATGCAGTGAAAGCTTTGAAGAGAGTGCAAACAAAAACACTAAAACAAGCCCACAGTTGTTCTTATGTTTATGGTTTTATCTCATACAAATTAAGATGAGCTCAGTCTCACATATAGTTTGGGGCTAACACGAGTCATTACAATATATTCCTAAGCAAAAGTAAAAGCTAAACAATGTAGTACTCTATGCCCTCCTTGTTAAAACAACAATAAAATATAGGAATGCTGTGACATAAAATCATGAAGACTGGTGGGTGTGGAATGGGGGAGAGCCAGTGATACAATAAGCCCTGCCAGTCAGTGCTGCGGACAAAATGCCAGCAACTTGCCTCAACTGGCACAAATATTACACTGTGCTCAACTTAGATTTTGGTTTTATTTAATTTCTATATAGAGAGTTCTCCACTACAGCAGTATCTTGTAGAAAATGTGAATAATTCCCAACAAATTCCTGCAGTTGAAACACAATGGCTTTTAAAACTTAAAGTGACGCAATTGTTTAGTTTTCAACACTAGCGGTTCTAACGGGTTAATATTGAAATAGTGTTCCTGGCTGGAGGGCACAGTGACAGTTGCACAATTCTCAATGTACAGAATGTTAACTCAATGTAAGTAGAAGCCTTTGGCATCTATAGCCTTCCTCTTCAGCAGCACTGAGAATAGAAAAAATAAAATAAAATACAAATCCACATGATCAAGTGCAATCCCATCCAATGGTGGGCTAAGATTGGGGAGGTGAGGGGTTGTTCCTCTGAGAATGGTATGCAATATGACTATACACGAACGTTGATTCACTGAAATGTAAATGTTAGAATGTAGCCTTAAAGCAGCTCTGTCATCTTTTTGCAAAGACCCCCTAAGGTGACATGCCCACTTGGGGAGCAGTGCTATACAGACTCAAAGCTGTAACCGAAGCTGCCGCCATCATTTTCTTTCTTCAGTTCCTGTGGTGACCATGCTGCATTAGAGCACACAACTCTAATGTCTTGGAGGGTCCCTGAACAGGTTTATTAAGCCCCTAGCCCTATACTGTGTGCGCACCAAGCTACGGAAACTCTGTTGAATAGACATGGGATCATTACAACCGAAATTTCTGGGATGATTTATTGTTATAGTGGCAAAAATGTTAACACATTGATTTGTGTTCTCTAACTTTGTAATCTGGGCATAATTGTTACAAGTCCGTTATCAACTGACCATTAACAGCTGTTTTCTACACAGGTCAAAATGTGTGATCTTTCTCTTACGCTCATAAGAACCTCAATAAAATAATTAGCATTCACACACATAGTATTTTATTGCGGTTGTCTTCCTGGATACATACCACTCTCTGATGGAACATATGAAGCGTGTCCCTGAAATCGTTAGAATTCCCAGGCATTAGAGAGGAATTCATCCATTAATTCATTACAGTAATGGCTCACTAGGAATTTACCTTCAGCAGCATTTGAATACTACATACCACTTTCCGATGGACCATACATGGTAAATGTGTCCCTGAAATCGTTAGAATTCCCAGGCATTAGAGAGGAATTCATCCATTACAGTAATGGCTCACTAGGAATTTACCATCAGCAGGATCTGAATGCTACACACAACTTTCTGATGAAACATACACGAAAAGTGTGGCACAGACCTCGGTTGAATTCATCCATTATAATATTAGCTCACTATAAATTTACCTTCAGCAGCATATGAATACTACATACCACTCTCTGATGGACCATACATGAGAAGTGTGGCGCTGCCCTCAGTAGAATTCCCAGACATTAGAGAGGAATTCATCCATTATAGTAATAGCTCACCAGGAATTTACCATCAGCAGCATATGAATGCTACATACCACTCTCTGATGGACCACACATGAGAAGTGTGGCTCTGCCCTCAGTAGAATTCCCAGGCATTAGATAGGAATTCATCCATTAATTAATTACAGTAATGGCTCACCAGGAATTTACCATCAGCAGCATATGAATGCTACATACCACTCTCTGATGGACCATACATGAGAAGTGTGGCTCTGCCCTCAGTAGAATTCCCAGGCATTAGATAGGAATTCATCCATTAATTAATTACAGTAAGGGCTCACTAGGAATTTACCATCAGCAGCATATGAATGCTACATACCACTCTCTGATGGACCATACATGAGAAGTGTGGCTCTGCCCTCAGTAGAATTCCCAGGCATTAGATAGGAATTCATCCATTAATTAATTACAGTAATGGCTCACTAGGAATTTACCAGCAGCAGCATATGAATGCTATATACCCATTTTTCCTATTTAGTCTATCAGTCTGTAGGGGTGATGTATGGGGGGGGGGGGTTCTGGCAGCACACCCCATGTCATGTTTTGGGGTGCTCTGTAACCCCCATATTGTGTTAATGGTCCGTCCCCCCCGGCCAGGCAGGGCTTACCATCTGGTGCGGTGGCAGACTGTACCATCTCCTCCCGGGGGGGGTTCCGTGTCTCCCCGCCGCTGTGATGCCGGCCGAGGTCGCTGTGTTACCGGTCAGGGCTCGCAGGCGGCTCCCGGGGCCCGCGTGGTATCTCCGCAGGCGGCCCGCGGGGCTGGCTGGGCCTCGGGCCGGTTGGACAGCGCGGAGAGGGCCGCGGAGCCTCAGGCACAGGCGGAGCATGGTTACACTGGGGTCCTCTGCTTCCTTCAATGACCTCCCCGGCCAAACGCTGAACTTTACGGCAGCCGCGACGTGCTCCGCCCACAGCTAGAGGGCGCTGCCTCCTCGAGCTGCCCATAGCCGCCATCTTACCACACCCGAGTGTAAACTGCCAGCTCGCAAACAGCGCCAAACCAGGTAAATAACCGCCTCACGGGCCCTGATAGAACACCGTGACACTTCACAGCAACACTCCCACTGGGAATAACCGGGCCACCGCCCCAGCAGGCTACTCGGGTGGAGCAAGATGGCGGCGGTGTTTCAGGGTTTGCCATGGATTGACCTACTGGGGTGGAGCAAGATGGCGGCGCTGTCTCAGGGCTTGCCATGGATTGGAATACTGAGGTGGAGCAAGATGGCGGCGGTGTCTCAGGGTTTGCCATGGATTGTGGACTACTGAGGTGGAGCAAGATGGCGGCGTTGTCTCAGGGCTTGCCATTGATTGGACTACTGAGGTGGAGCAAGATGGCGGCGGTGCTGCTCCCATTGCACGTTCGCCGTAAAGGAGAAGTGTCGTAAACAGCGCCGTGATTGGGCTAAGAGAGGGAGTGCAGGGGAGTGTCAGTGAGTGACAGCCGCTCCTGGCAACAAGGTGACAGGGACACGATACAGAGGGGGGATATTCACTAAACTGCGAGATACAGTTACTGCTGGGCTGCTGTATCCATTCTGAATTCCAGAATGTGGAGACTAGTGAATAACCCAGTCACTCAGGATTACTAATTAAAGGGACACCACAGTCACCAGAATAACTACAGCTTAATGCAGTGGTTATGGTGTCTATAGACCAGGGGTCCTCAAACTCCGGCCCCCCAAATGTTGCTGAACTACCACTCCCATGATTCTCTGGCTATCTATGTAATTAAAAAGAATCATGGGAGTGGTAGTTCAGCAACATCTGGGGGGCCGGAGTTTGAGGACCCCTGCTATAGACTGTCTCCCTTTTCAGATTAACCCCTTCAGGACGGAGTCAACAGTGCACGTTCTGATCAAAACAAAACGTAAACAAAAACTGGAATTTGCGCTATATGTCTGTTCAACCATAATTCACAGCTGTCACATTAAGTGCACCCACACTTATTATATATCATTTTGTTCAGGAGAAACAGGGCTTTAATTTATCATTAATTATTCATATATGGAATAAAATTTTAAAAAAATGTGAGAAAATAAGATTTTTCTTTTTAAAGTTGTATTTCTGTCTGACATTTTAGCTGTGAATGTCATAATACTGTTAGGTTTTACTGCAAAAAATGCACATATTTCTAGTCAGCGATGTCTCACGAGTACAACAGTACCTCCCCATTAACAGGTTTTATGGTGTTTTGGAAAGTTACAGGGTCAAATATAGAACGTTCCATTTTCATATTGAAATTTGCCAGATTAGTAATATTACCTTTGAGACGGTGTGGTAGCCCAGGAATGAGAATTACCCCCATAATGGCATACCATTTGAAAAAGTAGACAACCCAAGGTATTGAAAGTGGGGTATGTTTAGTCTTTTTTAGTAGCCACTTAGTCACAAACACTGGCCATCATGGGGGTAATTCTCATTCCTGGGCTACCATACGCTCTCAAAGGCAACATAACCAATCTGGCAAATTTCAATGTCAAAAAAATGAAATGCAAGCCTTATATGTGACTCTCTAACTTTGCAAAACACCATAAAACCTGTACATGGGGGGTACTGTTATTCTCGAGAGACTTCACTAAACACAAATATTAGTGTTTTAAAACAGTAAAACATATTACAACAATAATATAGTCCATAAAAGTGCAGTTTGTTTGTAAAAAATGCAAAAAACTTCACTTTTACTTAAAATATCATCGTTGTAATACAATTTACCAGTTTGAAACACTAATATTTGAGTTCAGCGAAGTCTCCCGAGTAAAACAGTAACCCCTATGTACAGGTTTTATGGTGTCTTGGAGAGTTACAGGGTCAAATATAGTGCTTGCGAATTAAATTCTCTGCACTTTCTCCCTGTGTTGTCAGGCATGTCAATCAAATTTTAATTAATCAAATTACATAATTATGTTAAAAGATTACTTAAATATACACATAGAATTTGAATATATATGCATTTATAGGTATTTAAATTCTACGTGTATACTAATGTAATCTTTTATGTAATTATATGTATTTATATGTATATATTTGCGGTTATTTGTATTTTATATATAGATAGCTAGATATATAGAATGTCATTCTAAGTGTATTTTGTTACCAATATATATATATTAATAACAAAATACAGTTAGAATGAAATTAGATATGAATATATAATTTATATTACATTTTGTTTCAATATTTTATTTATTAATTTTATTATTTTATTTATTTATTATTGTAATTATACGTATATATATATATATATATATATTATATGTGTATATATCTATTTTATATATATATATATATATATGTAACGTCATTCTAAGTGTATTTTAATACTAATATATGTACTTATATTAGTATTAAAATACACTTTGTATGACGTTACATATATATAATATAAATATGTTTAATCATTTTTTTTACACTTCCCACCAGCAGGGGGACTGTCTGACATTTCAGATAGTCCCCCTGCTGGCAGATCCACAGCCAGCTATAGGGGGCCATGTGATCGCTCTTTAAGAGCGATCACATGGCCCCCGGGGGCCTCATTTGCCGGGGGGAGGGCTGTCAGGCAGTCCTCCCGAAGCGGAGCGCCGGTAAGGTGAGTATACTGGGCGCTCCAGGGGCTTCAGCCGTTACAGCGTTCTATGCCGCCACAACGGCTTTAAAGCCCATTTAATGCGGGACGGCATAGAACTCAGATGGCCACTAGAGGTACTTCCTGTCTTTCAGCGCGCTGAATGTTTCTCACAGAGATGCATTCCTACAATGCATCTCTATGAGGAGATGCTGATTGGCAAAGTGCAATGTTTTGCCGCGCATGTGCAATAGCCCCCCAATGCCGTCTTTGGAAAAAGCATTGGATTGGCTGAGATCTATAAATCAGAATTCTGAATATTGGCAACAGTGTTATACCCTTATAGTGGAGTCAGGACACCCAGCGTCCCCTTTGGAGTTGTGGTTCTTGCAAATGAAGGAGTAACGCTCCATGGAAGAGCTGATAGTCAGTGTTCCAGGGAAGGTCCAAATCTATGCTGCATTTTAGATCCAATGGCTGACCTCATCAGAGGAGAGCGATTTGGGTATTACTTAATTAGTACATTATACATCGCTGGTAAGACCACACCTTGAATATGCTGTGCAGTTTTGGGCACCTGTTCTAAAGAAAGATATCACGGCACTAGAAAAAGTGCAGCTACAAAATTGATAAAAAGGAATGGAGCATTCTAGTTACGAAGAAAGGTTAAGAAATTTAAATCTCTTTAGTTTGGAAAAAGGCGCCTCAGAGGGGATATGGTAACATTATACAAATATATTCGGGGCCAGTACAAACCATTATCTGGAAATCTATTCATAAACAGGGCTATACATAGGACACAAGGTCACACATTTAGGCTGGAAGAAAGGAGATTTCATCTAAGGCTAAGAAAATTGTTTTTTTTTTTACAGTAAAAGCAATAGGGATATGGAATTCTTTGCCTGAAGAGGTGGTTTTATCAAAGTCCATACAGATGTTTAAACTGCAATTGGATAAACACTTGCAAAAACATAACATATATATTATAGATATAATTTCTAATTAGTGGGGTAATAGCTGCTTGATCCAAGGAGACATCTGACTGCTATTTTGGGGTCAAGAAGGATTTTTTTCCTAGTTTGTTGCAAAATTGGAAGCACTTTAGACTAGATATTTTGCCTTCTTTTGGATCAACAGCAAAAACATGTGAGAAAGCCTGAACTTGATGGACGCAAGTCTCTTTTCAACTATGAACTATGTTACTAAATAACAATGTATTAATTCATTGGGGTTCCACACCCCAGCATATTCCAGCAGCCTGACACACTCTCACTGACTTATCTTACTCTGTCTAACTTTAAGAAAAATGGGGAAGCCATGTGTGAAAAACTAGTTATCATTTTCTGTATTAATTTATCACTCTCATGTCGTTGTGATGGAATTTGTTTTTATGCACAGCTTTCTTAAGGTCCCACAACAGCATTTCATTTGGGTTAAGACCTGGACTTTGACTGGACCACTTTGATTCTTTTTTCCAGCCATTCTTATGTAGATTTGCTGGTGTGCTTGAGATCATTGCCCTGTTGCATGACCCAATTTCGTCCAAGCTTTAGCTGTCGGACAGCACATTTGACTCTAGAATACTTTGGTCTACAGCGGAGTTCATGGTCAACTCCATGACTGCAAGGTTCTCAGGTCCTGTGGCTGAAAAACCACCCTAAATAATCCTCCTTCCGCCAGCGTGCTTGACAGTTGGTATGAGGTATTTGTGCTGTTATGCTTGGTGTTTGGTTTTCGCCAAATGTGGCATTGTGCATTGTAGCCAAAAATCTACATTGTGGTCTTGTCTGTCCAAAGGACATTGTTCTACAAGTCTTGTGGTTTGTTCAGATGAAACTTGCAAACCTAAGCCATGCGGCCATCTTCTTTTTGGAGAGAAGAGGCTTTCTCCTGGCAACCCTACCAAACAAACCGTACTTGTTCAGTATTTTTCTTTTCAAAATATTTTTATTAAACAGTTTTTGATACAGATACCACAAAATCGTATTGTCATGAACTTTCACATTTTACTTGCTAACTGAGGCCTGTTGAATCTGAGCTGTAACTCTTGTGTTTTTTGTTGTTTTTTTTGCAATTTCTCTGAGCATTGCCGGGTCTAACCTTGGGGTGAATTTTGGTGGGATGTCCACTTCTGGAAAGATTGGCAACTGTCTTAAATGTTTTCCACTGTTGAATAATCTGTCTCATCGTAGAATGATGGACCTCAAATTGTTTGGAAATGGCCATATAAGCCTTCCAAGTTTGATGGGCAGCAACTATTGCTTCTCTAAGAACACTGCTGATGTCTTTCCTTTTTGGCATTGTGTTAACATACACCTGAATGCTCCAGACCAACAAACTACTAAAACTTTGGCTTTAATAGAGGTGGTCACACTTGATGATGACGAGTT